ACTGTAGATACTTTGAATTATTGAAATAATTTTGATTTTTGCTTTTCAATGCCAAGTGATCTTTACCTAGCAATGTGAATGTGATATTAGTTAATATCACAAGTAACTGCATACGATGACTTCAGGTAAAATAAGCACTAGAGTAGATATAAATATGAAATATTTATATAGTTTAGTGTTTAAGCACCATTCTAATGATTTTTTGGGGAAAGTAGGTATAGTTCAGCTTCTGGGGTAATGAAACTTATCTATAATAGTTTGACGATTTCCTCCTTAAATTGCCTATAAAAAACCATTGCTATTTATATTACAGGCAATGCCATGTTTTCTTACACATCAATAACTAATCCCATGATTATGAGAAATTTCTTTCCTAATATCATGACAGTCTCTACTGAAATAAATTGCCTCAACTACTATTTAGTTCATACCTTACACATGTATGGTTGTCTGCTGTGCTTTCTACCATAGAATCTAACTTCTAATAGTGGTGGCCGTGCTTGACTGGATCAGGGTGGGGGCGATTTGTTCAGCCTGTCACTGATGTGTGAGGTGATGAAGCCAAAATGGGAGGCTGATGATTAGTTGGACTCTGCACTATATTATCTCAGAAGAAATTGATGTGAAGATGGGGGAGTCAGTGATTGAGGGCAAATAGTAGTCTCATAGATACAAGATGACAGTCACAAGATACAGGAGTAGAATGTAGAGGTGTGGTGGGGCACTTCCTACTGCTGAGGGGTGATGGGATAATCTTGAGGGTTGTGCTAGATCCTCCAGCCTCTCTGAAGCCCAGCTTTGCGGCTATTCCTGGATGGTAATAGGGAGTGATCTGTTGAGATCCTCTTGCACTTGTATCTACTTGTATCTTTATGTCTTTCCACACCCCTCACCTGAAAAGTATCTGTTCCTTATAAAAATAATGTCTACTCTTTAGATTATAGATCTCTCAGCCATGCTACATTTTTATCACCAGTCTTTTGCTGAGTATTTTTATGTAAAGACTTACTCTTCTTATCCACACTAGCAATTCAAAATAGAACTAATGATTGGTAACCTAAAGTTGGTATTCTCACGCATTATTTTAATTATTGATATCTTACTACCCTCTCATTCAAATCAAGTTCTTATTATCTTTGGCTATTGATTTTCTTTAGTTTTATCTCTGACTATTTTCAAGAAATATTTCAAAGAGGTAGAATAAAATTTGTCCATAGAGGACATACAGTTTTCTTTGAGATGGGGTCTCGCTGTCTCCCAGGCTAGAGTGCAATGATGCCATCATGACTCAATGCAGCCTCAAACTCTGGGCTCACATGATCCCCCTACCTCAGCCTCTTGAGTATGTGGGCCTATAGGCACATGCCACCATACCTGGCTAATTTTTTATTTGTAGAAATGAAGTCTCATTGGTGCCCAGGCTGAATAAACAATGCTCCTGCATTGGCCTTCCAGGAGCACAGGATCCTTATAGTTCTTATATCGTGCCTTCAAGTCTTTACCCACAAATATAAGCTACTTTTCCCAAATAATAGTTCTACAAAGAAAATGTGCCTGGTTCATCCTTTTAAGATAGATCACAGTATCTTGTTTAGTGGTTGACATATAATGGTTGGTATTTAATGACTGTTGAATTGATTATAATGAAAATGGGGAATTATGCTAGAGTATCACTGATTGCAACTGACTGAACTCAAATATTTTCCCAGTTCCTATTTTGATGAGAAAGGCTTGGTCAGACAACAGCTGGATTCTTTTGGTAGGTTATTCAGATGTCTGTTCAAGGGTATGGAAGATGCTCCTCCTATAGATCTACAAGCTGAAGCTCAGCATGCTAGTGGAGAAGTTGAAGAACCGGTAAGATGGTTAGTTCTAGCCGTTACACAAAATTGAGAAAGTATTGGTTTGAAATTTCAACCCTTCTGTTAACTGACTTAAAGGTTAAAAAAGTCAGTTGGAGCTTTTTAACAAAGTACTTACAGCACCGTCAGTCACTTTCTGATTTATTCTCTCTAATGAGGAGGTGTATTTTTTTTCAAATAATCCCATCCTTGTTCACATAGTAGGTATTGAATAGTTGGGAAGAGGACTCTGAAATATGAACAAATAAGAGAAAGTGAGCCAGAGATGAATCACGTTGCTTTAGATAGATAACCCCTTTTTTTCTCTCACATTATAAAAATGATAAAAAAATGTTTGAAGGAATTTTCGTCTGATTTTATGTATTGCATGAAGTACATTATTATAACCATATGATGAGGTAGGAAGGTAAATCACCCAAACATATCAGCTATCTTTATTAAGCTTCTTATAACTTTTGCTCACATATATGCATGTTTTTTAGCATTAAATCATACCAAGGAGTATAATTTTATAATTTGGTTTTATATAGTGATTATAAATAAATATGTAGTCAAAATAATAAGCTGTCCTAGTTTTAGAGAAGTTGAGGAGGCAGTTGTTGGAACATGTTGAGCTTTGAGAACAGGGAAAACTGAAAAACAAAGTAGAGGTAGGGGAAAAGCCCCAAAGAGACACAGAGTTCATTGTTTCTAGCCTGATCAGTTTCTCTTCTGTGTGGCCCCTGATCTCCTAAGGGCTGGTCTGTTATTTCCATTTAGTTGGACATGCTGTCGGAATTTTGCTGTGGAAACCCGAAAGCGATTGGCTCTTCTAGGGCTCTGCTGGAAAGGGGGACATTAAGTTTCTTTTTTATTCTTGGGTCATATTTTCTTTTTTACAGGGATGACAGGCGCCCACCACCACGCTTGGCTAATTTTTTTGTATTTTTAGTAGAGACGGGTTTCACCATGTTGGCCAGGCTGATCTCAACTCCTGACCTCAAGTGATCCACCTGCCCGCCTCCCAAAGTACAGAATTACAAACATAAAACCACTACCTCCAGCTTATTCGTCATTTTTTCTTCATGATTTTTGTATAACAAAGCGAAATAACAATAGAGCAGTAGCAAATTCAATGTGCCAGTAATGGAAGTACTAAAGGAGGAGGAGATCTCTGAGGCTTAGTTATCAGAGCTTATTAGAAAATGGAAGAGACCCAGAATTTACTGTGAATAACAGATAGGAGTTCTCTTAGAGAAAAAGGTGCTTAGTCATTTCAGCAAGGAACTGGCCCAGGCGGCTCGCCGCGTGGTGGCTCATGCCTAGAATTTCAGCTCTTTGGGAGGCCGAGGCGGGCAGGTCACCCGAGTTCAGGGTTTGGACCAGGCTGGCCAATATGGTGAGCTCCCGCTTTCTACTAATAAAGTACAAAAATTAGCCAGAGCGTGCTGATCGGCACCTGTAGTCCCAGCTACTCGGGAGGCGCTGAGACAGGAGAATTGGCAGGCAGTGGGAGACGGAGGTTGCAGCGAGCTGAGATCGCAGCCACTGCACTCCAGCCTGGTGGCGTGACAGGACGAGACGCTGTCTCAAAAAAAAAAAAGAAAAAGAAGAAAAAAAAAAGAAAATACCTGGTATATTTAGGCTGGGGATGGGATGGGGACCACAATGATCAGTATGTGATTTTTGGCTTACCTATTTTTTTTTTTTGAGGCGGAGTCTGAGCGTATTGCCCAGACTAGAGTGCAGTGGCGCGATCTTGGCTCACTGCAAGCTCCGCCTTCCGGGTTCATGCCATTCTCCTGCCTCCTTTCTGAGTAGCTGGGACTGCAGCACACCTGCCCAACATACCCGGCTAATTTTTTGCATTTTTAGTAGAGACAGGGTTTCGCCGTGTTAGCCAGGATGGTCTCGATCTCCTGACCTCATGATCTGCCTGCCTCCGCCTCCCAAAGTGCTGGAATTACAGGGCTTACCCATTTTACTAGGCATTAGGAAGATAAGATGGAGACAAGTTGTTGAAAGCTTTGAATGTCATTGGATGTTATGAGGAATTACTGAGAGATTGTCAAAGAATATACATAAAGCATTATTTTAGAAAAGTTACTTTGTGATGCTTACTTGGAGATAGAAAGAGGCTAGGAGGCCTGGTGCAGTGGCTCACGCCGCAATCCCAGCACTTTGGGAGGCCTAGGCAGGCAGATCTCTTGAGACGGAGTTCGAGACCATCCTGGCCAGCATGGTGAAACCCCATCTCTACCAAAAAAATACAAAAATTAACCGGGTCTGGTGGCGCGCGCCTGTAGTCCCAGCTACTCGGGAGGCTGAGGCAGGGGAATCACTTGAACCCGGGAGCAGGCTGCAGTGACCCTAGATCACACCACTGCACTCCAGCCTGGGTGACAGAGTGAGACCCTATCTCAAACAAAACAAACAAAAAGAGGCTGGAGATAAAAATCAGAATAGCCTATGATTAAGATAGTAATGACCTAGACTAGATGATGGCACAGATAAGGAGTAGAGGTTGACCTCCTTTGGTTCATTATCACCACCGCTCTCTTTGCCCTTTGTCTACCCCAGCTTGGGAGACTTGACTATCAATAATTAATCATTAGTAAAACATCTGCTCAGTTCTATTTTCTTCTCTGAGACTTGGAGATTTGAAAGAAAAATTACCCACTATCCATTTATCTATAAAAGTTGTCCTCATGGATCTTGTTTTATTAGGCAGCAAGTGAATGTTTAATTGAAAAATTTCTTTTTTTGCTATGGACTAAGCTATATTCCAGCCGGGGATGGAAGTTCTCAGCCCTTTATATAGAATGTTTAGGATATTTTTTGTGTTTTTTAAAATAAAATTTTTTTCTTTTGTTTACTGGTTTGACAGATTAATTTGTATGTTTAATTGAAAAAGTTAAGTTTATTTTTTTAAATCTTCTAATTAATTAAACACAATTCTAATTATCTGAATTTACTATCTTTATTCTCTAGTCAGATTTATGAATTTTGATAGCGCTTACAGAAGGCACAAGAAACTATGTAGAATCATTAATGTAAATCCCATTTTAACGATATAACTTCTTCGCCAATGTGTACAGTCTTCGTTTACTTGTAGTATATTAAGTCTCTTTTTGTCTTCTGCCTTAAAGAAGCAATTAGATCCTTTTTGTAGTTGGTAAGTGTGATGATTGGGTTTGAGATGTGCCTTCCTTAAACCTTGTTACAAATGTATTGCTTACATTACACCATCGTAATGTGAAAATAAATTTAAGAAAAAGAGGAAAAAAGAAGAAAAGTAATGTGGTTTAAAACTTGACATCTGTGCGGTATGGATACTGACTTTGAGAAGTCCCCATTTCAGTAAAATGGATTAATTTTGCCAGTTTGTAGAGCTGCTTCTACTTAAAATGTTAATGTCAATTAAAATGGAATCATTAACACTTTTATGGAAAAAATTATTTATCTTCGTGTTTTTTGTTTTTAATTTCAGCCAAGATATTTGCTGAAGTTTGAACAAATTTATCTTTCCAAGCCTACCCACTGGGAAAGAGATGGTGCTCCTTCACCAATGATGCCCAATGAAGCTAGATTAAGAAATCTCCGTGAAAAAAGAAGATTTTGTATCAGCAGCAGATACTAGGCAAAATTCTAAATATATTTAACCCACCAAGTTGTTTTAACAGATAACCTATTGCTTAACTGTGATCTGGGAGGAAAGGTTTAGGTTGGTAGGGTGGTTGTGGGCGGGGGTTAGTTTGGGGAGGTTGGGGCTGGGATAGATCGGAGGCTTTGTGGGAAGGGATTTCCCATGAGATTGTGTTGGTCAGCTTGCTGCCTTTTGAATGGCTTGACAGATCGTGATCTTTGTGAGTTAAATGAATGCCCTTTGGATCCTGGTGGCTATTTCATTATTAATGGATCAGAAAAGGTATAGTAACATTATTTTAAAAAATGACAAAATGGTAGTTAAAATTTAGTTTAAAGTTGAAATTAAAAAAAAAAAAAAAAAAGATTTTCGTGCAGGATAACCTGGCAGTGACAGTTGGCTTATTTAGGGTATGACAGCTAAACTTATATAAAGCAAATCTTTATTTAGTTGTATATAATATGCACTGGAAATTTGGTCAGTTTCAGTCAGTTTTGGAGCTTATGTATTTCTATGAAGTGTTTATGCAAAATGGAGTTTTTAAAGTTGAAGAATTAAATATTTCAGTGAGCCTATATGATCAGATTAAATTAAGACGCAGATTTTACTCTCTTTTCAGTGACCTTTTGGATTTTATGGCTATAACCTTCTTATTGTCCATTAGTTCGATTGCCCAGAGAAAATGGCAACAAACACAGTTTATGTGTTTGCCAAAAAGGACTCTAAATATGCCTACACAGGAGAGTGTAGATCATGTCTGGAGAAATTCTTCCCACGACCCACAGTACTATATGGGTTAGCATGCTGGCAAAGGAGGACAGGTATGGACTGGATGTGATGTTATTTGGGTTTATTCATGTGCGCTTTTGTTTTAAAATTCACTAGACTGCATTCTCGGTCCAAAAAAGCTTTTCTGGAGCAATATTGTTGTTATATATTGTATCGTTTACCTATCGCTGTGTGACAAATTACTCTTCCAGCAACATTTATCATCTCACGGCTTCTGTGAGTCAGAATCTGGGTGCTGCTTGGCTGGATCTTTTGGCCAGCATCTCTGGGCTGCAAAATCAGATATTTCCTGGGCTGCCGTCATCTCAAGAGCCATTCACATGGTTGTCTGCAGGATTTAGTTCTTGATTGACCTTGGACTGAGTCTCAGGTCTTTGCGAGGCTGTCGGCTGGGGAAGCCTTTCTTAGTTCCTTGCCATGTGGACCTCTGCGTACCTTGTCTGACCTTAACAGAGCAGCTTGCTTCTTCAGAGAGAGTAAGCAAAAAGAGCTATAGAGAGAGAGTACAAGCAAGGTAGAAATCAGTCTTTTATAACTTAAAAGTTGTAGCAACATTCTGTCATTTTTGCCATCTGCTTTGTTAGTTGCAAGTCACTATGTCAGCTCACACTGTGAGAGAGGAGGATATTACAAAGGGCAATAGTAGAGGCAGAATCACTGGAGTACCAGCTTAGAGAAGTTGCAGACCACTGGTATAGTTATAAGCATAGGTTGCTTATAATAATGGAATCTAGTAGTAGCTAGCAGTTCTTAAATATTTGCTGTATGCCAATTCTGTTACTCAGATTGCTTGATTTAATCTTTACAGCTATCTTGGAAAACCTCTATTTCAGTTATATGTGTGTGTGTGTGTGTGTGTATGTGTGTGTGTATACATATCTGTTTTCTTTTTTTTTGAGACAGTCTTGCCCTGTCCGCAGGCTGCAGTGCAGTGACATGAGCTTAGCTCACTGCAACCTCCGCCTCCCTAGTTCAAGTCATTCCCCTGCCTCAGCCTCCTGAGTAGCTGTGACTACAGGCGCACACCACCACACCCGGCTAATTTTTTAGGTGTTTTAGAAAGATAGGGTTTTTACCATGTTCTGGATTCAAGATAGTAAAAATCTCACAACCATAATCTGCCCTCCTTGGCCTCCCAAAGTCCTGGGATTACAAGCATGAGCTAGGTGCCTGTGGGAGTTTTAAATAATTAAAATGGTTTTTATTTGTGAATGGTTTTTGGTAACTGGTGTTTCCATTTGTTTTTGTAATTTTTAAAAGCTATTTTCAATTTAATTTAATAATTATGCATGTGTAGGATGCAGTGTGATGTTTGATACATGTATACAATGTATAATGATACTAGGAGTATAGCCAAATTAAATTACTTAGCATGTTTTTAATAATGTCTTTATTTGTAAAAGATAAGAATTTGTAAGGTAAGCATTCTTAGCCTGTGCACAACATTGCTGGAGTATGCAGAGATCATCTCAAAACACACAATCCTTATTGAGAAGGTGGCCAGGTGTGGTGGCTCATGCCTGTAATCCCAGCACTTTGGGAGGCTGAGGTGGGTGGATTGCTGAGCCGAGGATGTGAGACCAGCTTGGGCAACATGGCAAAACACTTTCTCTAGCAAAACAACAACAAAAACCCCAAAATTAGCTGGATATGGTGGCAGGCGCCATGTAGTCCCAGTTATTCAAGAAGCTGAAGTGGGAAAGTAAGCTTGAGTGTCGAGGTTGCAGTGAGCCCAGATTGGCGCCACTGCACTCCAGCATGGGTGACAGAGCCAGACCCTGTCTCAAAAAAAAAAAAAAAAAAAAAAAGAAAGAAAAAACAGAAAGTAATGGTTTTATTGGGAATACAAGCTTTAGGCATTAAATGATAGTAACAGTGCAGAGGCAAATGACACCTATTACATATATTGGATTTATAGAAATTTGGAGGAGAATGAGATACTAGTATGGTGTGGTCCATGCAAAGTTTTTTTTTTTTTTTGAGACAAAGTCTCACTCTGTCACCTAGGCTGGAGTGCAGTGGCACGATCTCGGCTCAGTGCAGCCTCCACCTCTGGCTCAAGTGATTCTCGTGCCTCAGCCTCCCAAGTAGTTAGATTATAGGCCTATCCCACCACACCTGGCTAATTTTTGTATTTTTAGTAGAGACAGGTTTCACTATGTTGCTTAGGTTGGTCTGGAACTCTGAGCTCAAGTGACAGCGCCTGTCTTGGCCTTCAAAGAGAATGCTGGCATGAGCCACTGCTAACCTGTTCATGAAACTTAATAGAGAAAGGTGGACTTGACTTACACTTTGAAAGATGGTATGGAGTTATATAAGCAGAGGAAACCCAACTGGAAAGACTTTCTTATTAGAGAGAGTGAGATGAGTGTTTTGGAGAATCACTGGAAGATAACTCTGATTGAGCTGAATGGAGTATGTTGAATAGTGAATGACAAGTAGGTGATTAGGGTGGATCTGGATTAGTGGATCTTAACTAAAGGTTCACATCAATAACCTACGACTCTTCCAAGTTCAATGGTGGGAATGGGGGTGGAATGGGGCCCAGGTGCAAGTATTTGAAAGAGGTCCCCAGGTGATTGTGATGTGCATTCTTTGTTGAGAGGCATCGGCCTGGATGATGGAGGGCCAAGACACGAACAGTATATTAGGGAGACTATCATGGCAACTCTGAACAAAATGAATTAATTGGAGGCAGAGAATGGAAAATGATCTGGATTTGATGGTGAGTTTGATAAAGATAAAAGGATGAGTCAGTTAGATACTATGGTTTGTATTCTGAGGTTCAAGTGGTGAACTTGAGAAGTAATTGATTTAGGAGAGAATATAAATAAGTTCAGTTTTTAGATAAGATTTTTGGGGAGTGCATATTTGTAGACATTATGATTTTCTTTAAAAAGAATTTTTTTGGAGACCAAGTCTGGAGTGCAGTGGCTCGATCCCAGCTTGCTGAAACCTCCGCCTCCCAGGTTCAAGCGATTCTCCTGCCTCAGCCTGCTGAGTAGCTGGGATTACAGGTATGTGCCACCATGCCCAGCTAATTTTGTATTTTAGTAGAGACGGGGTTTCACCATGTTAGCCAGGCTGATCTTGAACTCCCAGCCTCTGGTGATCTGCCACTTGGCCTTCAAAGTGCTGGGATTACAGGTGTGAGCCACTGCACCCAGCCTGTGAGCCATCGTGCCCAGCCTAAAATTTTAAAAATATTTATAGAGATGAGGTCCCACTATGTTGCCCAGGCTGGTCTTGAAATGCTGGGTTCAGGCAGTCCTCCCACCTTGTCCTCCCAAAGTGCTGGGATTACATGCATGAGCCACTATGCCCAGCTATATTATTTTTTAATGTTCTGCTTGTTCTGAAATAAGATCCATGATGAAACAAATAATAGACTAAATGGAATAATTGATGTCCACATAGAAACAACGAATTGGCAATTGGAGATATGGGGGCTGAGGGTACAGGAAAAAGATCAAGATGAAGATTTGGGTGTCATTTATGAAAAGCTGTTACTGAATATGCCCATGAGAGGAGTTCTGAAGGAGGCCTGAGGTGGGAGGAGGAAGATGATGGAAGTTATTAGAGGGATTATAATAATGTAGGGTTGTGAGGCCAAGGAAGATAGAGTGGAAATTGATATTGAAGCAAACAAATATGATTAAAACTGAGAAATCAGGTGTGTCATAGGTTAGTAACTTCTAATTGGTTTTTATGTGTGTACAATTAAAGAGGAGAAATTGGAAAAAAGCTGTGTAGAAAGAGGGCTATTAGTTTTGAAACATTGAAACAAGGAAATGCCTCACAGACCAGCTCTGATTTAATGTTTATTTTTCATTGTGTGCTTAGCTTTTTTTCCATATTTATCTATCCATATTGTCTCTTTTTTTACCTCTTATATATTTCTTTCTTCCACAGGTTTAATTTTTTTTGGAGGGGGGATAGGTTGGGGAGGGTGAGGAATCAGTATTCATATTTTTGCAGCCAGAAGTGATTTCAAATACAGTATTGAGTAATTCTAGAGAATCTTGCTTAGACAGATAGGAGAGAATGGAAGGTCTGTGACCAGCCTGTGTGTAAAAGAATTAGTATACTTGTTTCAGTGGTTTTGAAATGCATTCATAGCAGGTTCCTCACAGTATTGGGAGGCATACTTCTTTTGAAATATGCACAAAGAATACATGTATATATTAAATAGTTCTCTTGATGTTTTTCTATTGCTGTGAGCTTTTGTATATTCATGTTCTAATGATAGTTTATTTTTCTAGGGTGCAAAAAAGAGTGCTGTTGGTCAGCGCATTGTGTAACTCTACCATATATCAAACAGAAGTTCCCATCATTATTGTGTTCAGAGCATTAGGTTTGTGTGTCTGACATGAGATATTTTAGAACATATTATTTATGATTTGAAGATCAGAGATGATGGAAATGGTAATGTGAAAGCAAAATGTATTCACAGAGCTTTATAAGAGATTTAGAGTTACTGATTGTTGCTAACCTTAAAATAGTAGAAAGCTGTTCTGAAGAGTAATTTAGCTGTCACAAATCTCATGCCATTTACTGTGTGGTAAAAGCTTTCAGCCCTGCCTGGGCCTCTTTTCTGACAGTTTGGTGTAAAAAATAGACATGAGGCCAGGGCAGCTGGGTGTGAAGTCCGTAAGGATGAGTGGAACAACCTATTGTTTAACTTTTCATTTTGAAATAATTTCAGACTTACAGAAAAGTTACAGAAAGGCCAAGCATAATCCCAGCCTTTGGAAGGCCAAGGTGGGAGGATCACTTGAGTCAGGAGTTCAGAGACCAGCCTGGGCAACATGGGAAATTCTCTCTACAAAATTACAAAAGGTTAACCTGTGTGGTGGCATGTACCTGTAGTCCCAGCTACTGGGAGGCTGAGGTGGGAAGATTGCTTGAGCCCAGGAGGTGGAGGCTGCAGTGAGCCCTAGTATGCCTCCACACTCCAGCCTGGGCGACAAGGGTAAGACCTTGTCTCAAAATAAAATAAAAATTTAAGAATTATATAGAGAATTCTTATATGCTCTTCACTCAGATTCACCAGTTGTTACTTTTGTCACATTTGCTTTATCATTCATTCTTTTTATATATAACACATTTTTTTTTTCTGGACCATTGGAGAGTAAGTTATAGGCAATAGCCTCTTACTCCTAAAGACCTCAGTGTATATTTCCTAATAATACATTAACTTACATAATCATAGTATAATTATTTAAATGAGAAAATTTTACTTAGATACAGTGTTTTTGTTGTTGTTGTTTGTTTGTTTGTTTTTGAGATGGAGTCTCAGTCTGTTGCCCAGGCTGGAGTGCAGTGGTGCAGTCTTGGCTCACCACAACCTCCGCCTCCCGGGTTCAAACGATTCTCCTGCCTCAGCCTCCCAAGTGACTGGGACTATAGGCATGCGCCACCACTCCCATCCTAATTTTTCTATTTTTTAGTAGAGATGGGGTTTTACTGTATTGGCCAGGCTGGTCTCAAACTCCTGACCTCAGGTGATCTGCCCACCTTGGCCTCCCAAAGTGATGGGATTACAACAATACTGGTAATGTACAGATCTTACTCAGATTTTTGTCAGTTGTCCTGATAATATTGGCTTCAAGTAATAAGATCTGCCTAGGCTGGAGTGCAGTGGCACGATCTCGGCTCAGTGCAACCTCCACCTCCTGGCTCAAGTGATTCTCGTGCCTCAGCCTCCCAAGTAGTTAGATTATAGGCCTATCCCACCACACCTGGCTAATTTTTGTATTTTTAGTAGAGACAGGGTTTCACTATGTTGCTTAGGTTGGTCTGGAACTCCTGAGCTCAAGTGACGCGCCTGTCTTGGCCTTCCAAAGTGCTGGCATGAGCCACTGCCCCTGACCTGTTCATGAAACTTAATAGAGAAGATTGGACTTGACTTACACTTTGAAAGATGGTATGGAGTTATATAAGCAGAGAGCAACTGGAAGGACTTTCTTATTAGAGGAGAGTGGGGATGAGTGTTTGGAGAATCACTGGAAGATAACTCTGATTGAGCTGAATGGAGTATGTTGAATAGTGAATGACAAGTAGGTGATTAGGGTGGATCTGGATTAGTGGATCTTAACTAAAGGTTCACATCAATAACCTACGACTCTTCCAAGTTCAATGGTGGGAATGGGGGTGGAATGGGGCCCAGGTGCAAGTATTTGAAAGAGGTCCCCAGGTGATTGTGATGTGCATTCTTTGTTGAGAGGCATCGGCCTGGATGATGGAGGGCCAAGACACGAACAGTATATTAGGGAGACTATCATGGCAACTCTGAACAAAATGAATTAATTGGAGGCAGAGAATGGAAAATGATCTGGATTTGATGGTGAGTTTGATAAGATAAAAGGATGAGTCAGTTAAGATACTATGGTTTGTATTCTGAGGTTCCAGGAGAGTGGTGAACTTCGAGTAATTGATTTAGGAGAGAATATAATAAGTTCAGTTTTAGATAAGATTTTTGGGGAGTGCATGTTGTAGACATTATGATTTTTTTCTTTAAAAAAAATTTTTTTTTTGGAGACCAAGTCTGGAGTGCAGTGGCTCGATCCCAGCTTGCTGAAACCTCCGCCTCCCAGGTTCAAGCGATTCTCCTGCCTCAGCCTGCTGAGTAGCTGGGATTACAGGTGTGTGCCACCATGCCCAGCTAATTTTGTATATTTAGTAGAGACGGGGTTTCACCATGTTAGCCAGGCTGATCTTGAACTCCCAGCCTCTGGTGATCTGCCCGCCTTGGCCTTCCAAAGTGCTGGGATTACAGGTGTGAGCCACTGCACCCAGCCTGTGAGCCATCGTGCTTGGCCTAAAATTTTAAAAATATTTATAGAGATGAGGTCCCACTATGTTGCCCAGGCTGGTCTTGAAATGCTGGGTTCAGGCAGTCCTCCCACCTTGTCCTCCCAAAGTGCTGGGATTACATGCATGAGCCACTATGCCCAGCTATATTATTTTTTAATGTTCTGCTTGTTCTGAAATAAGATCCATGATGAAACAAATAATAGACTAAATGGAATAATTGATGTCCACATAGAAACAACGAATTGGCAATTGGAGATATGGGGGCTGAGGGTACAGGAAAAAGATCAAGATGAAGATTTGGGTGTCATTTATGAAAAGCTGTTACTGAATATGCCCATGAGAGGAGTTCTGAAGGAGGCCTGAGGTGGGAGGAGGAAGATGATGGAAGTTATTAGAGGGATTATAATAATGTAGGGTTGTGAGGCCAAGGGAAGATAGAGTGAAATTGATATTGAAGCAAACAAATATGATTAAAACTGAGAAATCAGGTGTGTCATAGGTTAGTAACTTCTAATTGGTTTTTTATGTGTGTACAATTAAAGAGGGAGAAATTGGAAAAAAGCTGTGTGAAAGGGCTATTAGTTTTGAAACATTGAAACAAGGAAATGCCTCACAGACCAGCTCTGATTTAATGTTTATTTTTCATTGTGTGCTTAGCTTTTTTTCCATATTTATCTATCCATATTGTCTCTTTTTTTACCTCTTATATATTTCTTTCTTCCACAGGTTTAATTTTTTTTGGAGGGGGGATAGGTTGGGGAGGGTGAGGAATCAGTATTCATATTTTTTTGCAGCCAGAAGTGATTTCCAAATACAGTATTGAGTAATTCTGAGAGAATCTTGGCAGGCAGATAGGAGAGAATGGAAGGTCTGTGACCAGCCTGTGTGTAAAAGAATTAGTATACTTGTTTCAGTGGTTTTGAAATGCATTCATAGCAGGTTCCTCACAGTATTGGGAGGCATACTTCTTTTGAAATATGCACAAAGAATACATGTATATATTAAATAGTTCTCTTGATGTTTTTCTATTGCTGTGAGCTTTTGTATATTCATGTTCTAATGATAGTTTATTTTTCTAGGGTGCAAAAAAGAGTGCTATTGGTCAGCGCATTGTGGCAACTCTACCATATATCAAGCAAGAAGTTCCCATCATTATTGTGTTCAGAGCATTAGGTTTTGTGTCTGACAGAGATATTTTAGAACATATTATTTATGATTTTGAAGATCCAGAGATGATGGAAATGGTAATGTGAAAGCAAAATGTATTCACAGAGCTTTATAAGAGATTTAGAGTTACTGATTGTTGCTAACCTTAAAATAGTAGAAAGCTGTTCTGAAGAGTAATTTAGCTGTCACAAATCTCATGCCATTTACTGTGTGGTAAAAGCTTTCAGCCCTGCCTGGGCCTCTTTTCTGACAGTTTGGTGTAAAATAGACATGAAAACCAGAGGCAGCTGGAGTTAATGACAACAGCAAGAAGAAACAGTGGTAAGGAAGTTTGCAGAAGCACACCAGCTTGGTGCAATTTAGTAAAAAGGGAAAATGAGTAGTTGATACCTATTGTTTAACTTTTCATTTTGAAATAATTTCAGACTTACAGAAAAGTTACAGAAAGGCCAAGCATAATCCCAGCCTTTGGGAGGCCAAGGTGGGAGGATCACTTGAGTCCAGGAGTTCGAGACCAGCCTGGGCAACATAGGGAGACCTGTCTCTACAAAAATTACAAAAGGTTAACCTGTCATGGTGGCATGTACCTGTAGTCCCAGCTACTGGGGAGGCTGAGGTGGGAAGATTGCTTGAGCCCAGGAGGTGGAGGCTGCAGTGAGCCCTAATTATGCCTCCCCACTCCAGCCTGGGCGACAGGGTAAGACCTTGTCTCAAAATAAAAAATAAAAGTTGCAAGAATTATATAGAGAATTCTTATATGCTCTTCACTCAGATTCACCAGTTGTTACTTTTGTCACATTTGCTTTATCATTCATTCTTTTTATATATAACACATTTTTTTTTTCTGGACCATTGGAGAGTAAGTTATAGGCAATAGCCTCTTACTCCTAAAGACCTCAGTGTATATTTCCTAATAATACATTAACTTACATAATCATAGTATAATTATTTAAATGAGAAAATTTTACTTAGATACAGTACTGTTTTTTTTTGTTGTTGTTGTTTGTTTTGTTTTTTTTGAGATGGAGTCTCAGTCTGTTGCCCAGCCTGGAGTGCAGTGGTGTGATCTTGGCTCACCACAACCTCCGCCTCCCGGGTTCAAACGATTCTCCTGCCTCAGCCTCCCAAGTGACTGGGACTATAGGCATGCGCCACCACTCCCATCTAATTTTTCTATTTTTAGTAGAGATGGGGTTTTACTGTATTGGCCAGGCTGGTCTCAAACTCCTGACCTCAGGTGATCTGCCCACCTTGGCCTCCCAAAGTGATGGGATTACAACAATACTGGTAATGTACAGATCTTACTCAGATTTTTGTCAGTTGTCCTGATAATATTGAAAACTATTAAGTAATAAGATCTATACATTAATAGTATATAGTAATTTAAGTTCAATATCTTATATAGTTCAGAGTCCAATTCAGAATCATACGTCACATTTTGATTGTGTGTCTTTTTAGTCTTTTATAATCCTTCCTTGGCCTTTTTTTTTGGAGACAAGATCTTGCTTTGTCACCTAGGCTGGAGTGCAGTGGTGTAATCTCGGCTCACTGCAACTTCCACCTCCCGGGTTCAAGCGATTCTCCTGCCTCAGCCTCCCAAGTAGCTGGGACTATAGGCACGTGCCACCATGCCTGGCTAATTTTTGTATTTTTAGTAGAGACAGGGTTTCACTGTGTTGGCCAGGCTGGTCTTGAACTCCTGACCTTGTGATCTGCCCGCCTTGGCCTCCCAAAGTGCTGGGATAGATTATAGCCGTGAGCCTCCAGGCCTGGCAAATTTTTTTTTTTTTTTTTTTTTTTTTTTACAGCCGGAGTACATACTGGATAAAAATTTAGTTTTCTTTTGTAGATTTAGGTTCTCATTTTCTTTCCCAGGATGGTCTCGAACTCCTGGGCTCAAGCCATCCTCCTGTTTTGGCCTTCCAAAGTGCTAGGATTATAGGAGTGAGCCCCACCCGACCCGGGCCAAACATTTTTAAATACCAGAATTGAAAACAGTCTGGCACATTAAGCGTTTGTAGTTCAGTAAACTTTAATTTGACTATGAAACTTCTGTAAATTGGTTTTAGATATCTGGAACTTTATTTTGCCATTGGTAAAACGTAAAAAAGAAATGCACCACTTTTTTTTTTTCCTTTTGAGACAGCGTCTCACTCTGTCACCCAGGCTGGAGTACAGTGGCACTATCTCGGCTCACTGCAAGCTCTGCCTCCAGGGTTCAAACGATTCTCTCACTTTAGCCTCCCACGTAGCTGGGACTACAGGCCTGTGCCACTGCGGCGGCTGATTTTTGTATTTTTAGCAGAGATGGGGTTTCACCACATTGCCCAGACTAGTCGCAAACTCCTGGACTTAAGCTATCTGCCCACTTCAGCCTCTTAAAGTGCTGGTTTTACAGGCATGAGCCACTGCTCCCGGCCATGCACTACTCTTTTTATAATGGAATTATTTGTATTTTTCTAGAAAGTGTAATGCCTGTGCTGATGAGTGGATTTTGTCAGAGATCTCTAGATCTCTGAGGGGTCTGCTAAGAATTTATGATTCCTTGATTTTCTAAAAATATTCACATTTTATTAGGTTCGTAGGGACACTTGGTATGTTATAAACTAAGTGACAGTTTACTCATTTTAAGGTAACATGAATTTGAAAATAACCTTTATTTAAATTGTCTGATAGGTTAAACCTTCTCTCGATGAAGCTTTTGTCATCCAAGAACAGAATGTTGCACTAAATTTCATTGGTTCGAGAGGGGCAAAGCCTGGTGTTACTAAAGAGAAAAGAATTAAATATGCAAAGGAAGTTTTACAAAAAGAAATGCTCCCTCATGTTGGTGTCAGTGATTTTTGTGAGACCAAAAAAGCCTATTTCTTGGGGTATGTTAAGTTTCATTGTTTTAAGTTCTTTATCAAGATATAGTTGAGATAAAGGTTTTTCTTAAAGTCAAGAATGATGTTTTTAACATATAAATCAAGAAAAGCCTAAAACTGTTTTCCTTTCTTTTTTCTTTTCTTTTTCTAAGATATATGGTGCATAGGTTACTTCTGGCAGCTTTGGGTAGAAGAGAACTAGATGACAGAGATCACTATGGAAACAAGAGATTGGATCTTGCTGGGCCGCTGCTGGCATTCTTATTTAGAGGGTAAGGAATTATAGAATGACAGAATGAAGTCGTTAAAGTAGGGAGATTTATTTCACTTTAGGTCAATCATTGCACATGGCCAGGCTAAACTGTGTTGGCACCCACGTTGGGTACTTATGAAGTTAGCTACATTCTTATTGCTACTTGCTCAGATTTAGTTTTGGTTCATGTCTAGGAAAGCCAGGTTTATGAGGACAATATATTACATGTTTATATTTTCTTTATTCCTCTGGTAGCTTTGTAAGATGTTTGAGAAAGCTGAATGATTGCCTTGGTTTCCCTAAGGGCTAATATTGGATTTTGTCCCGCTTTGTACACATATATACAAAAGCTGGAGAGAAATATATAAAAATACTATCAGCAATTGTCTCACAGTATTGATATTATGTGCAGTTTTTAATTCTATTCTTGATGTTTTTATATTTCCCATATTTTCTATAATTGGAAAAAAGTTATTTTTAAAAATGAAATATATAGACAGTACAAAAAGGATAACATTAGCAGTGTTTTGCACGTGTTTTGTTATTTAGTATGTTATAGGTTAGTGTTTTTCAACCTTTTTTTTTATTACTCCACTAAGGAGCCTCTTTTAACATTTCTGTTTTTTGAGATGGAATTTCGCTTGTGTTGTCCAGGTTGGAGTGCAGTGGCGCGATCTGGACTCACTGCAACCTCTGCCTCCTAGGTTCAAGTGATTCTCCTGTCTCAGCCTCCCGAGTAGCTGAGACTACAGGCATGTGCCATCAAACCCGGCTAATTTTTGTATTTTTAGTAGAGACGGTGTTTCTCCATATTGGCCAGGCTGGTCTCAAACTCCTGACCTCAGGTGATCTACCTGCCTCAGCTTCCCAAAGTGCTGGGATTACAGATGTGAGCCACCACGCCCCGCCTCTTTGACATTTTTGTGTAATTGTTCCCCTGCCATGTATGTTCATGTACTATGCGTATATCTGTGCTTGAGACATAAAAGAGCAACATAAAAGAGCAAGAACTTTCACTCTGCCCAAACAATTTTTGCTCACCTTCCCCACACTTTTTTTCTACTCACATATTTTTTTACTCACATTTTTTTGCAGTATTGCAAAATACTCACTTTTTTTTTTTTTTTTTTTTGCAATATTGCTCCTGTTGAGAATATATGTTGTAGACCTCTACATGTTTAAAATAATATCATTTTATTTGGCAGTATGTTTAAGAATTTGCTTAAAGAAGTGCGGATCTATGCACAGAAATTCATTGATCGAGGAAAGGATTTTAACTTGGAGTTGGCAATTAAAACACGGATCATATCTGATGGCCTAAAATACTCTTTAGCTACTGGAAACTGGGGTGATCAAAAGAAAGCTCATCAAGCCAGAGCTGGAGTATCTCAGGTAAGTGTGCCAACTATGACTACAGGTTCAATAGGAAACATGTTTATAGGACTGGTAGATTCTTTTGTTTGTTGAATGTAAATTATTTTGCTTTTCTTACTTGATCAAATGTAAAACTATGGGGTGCCGGGGGCGGTGGCTCACGCCTGTAATTCCAGCACTTTGGGAGGCCAAGGCAGCCTGGATCACCTGAGGTCAGGAGTTTGAGACCAACCTGGCCAACATGGTGAAACCCTGTCTCTACTAAATATACAAAAATTAGCTGGGCGTGGTGGTGGGTGACTGTAATCCCAACTACTCTGTTTGAGAGGCTGAGGCAGGAGAATCGCTTGTACCCAGGAGGCGGAGGTTGCAGTGAGCCGAGATCGTGCCACTGCACTCCAACCTGGGCAAAAAGAGTGAGACAACAAAAAACTTAAGGAGACTTTTGAATTATGAACATGAAATTTTCTTAAATTAACTATTAGCATTACTAAGATAGATTTTTGGCTTGCAGTTTTAAAATAATTAAGAAATTAGAGTAGCTACTTAGTGGGTGAGACCGTCCATGTTCGTGAAATTGTTATGTCTTAAAAGCTCCATATTAGAAGTTAACCCAGAGAATAAATGGTCATCGCCCTCCTTTGTTGGCAAATACAGTACTTCTGACACTGGTTTCTATATGTCGGTCTGTTGCATATATAGTGACCACAGTAGCTATTCTCAGATGGAGTAATGGAGAAAAGCTTTTCAAAGAGTGTCTCACTAGGCATTTCAATTTTTTGTATTTGCTTTTCATAGATGATTGAAAATCTATAATGTACTTTATGCCATTTTTAGGGGTATCTCCCCTTCCTTTCCTTGTTTGAACTAGCCTATACCAGTATCACCTGATTGATTTGGCATTCGGACACCAATTTCAAGCTCCTTTCTCCTAGAAATCTGGATGCTCTAAGAAATTTTGAGGGGCTGCTGATAGCAAAGTTAATATTTAAATTCCTTTTAATTCAGTAAGGATTTATTGGGTATATTTGATATTTGTGATGCTGAGTTCACATACGTGAATGAGATGCTCTCTCAGCCTCAGGGAGCTCATCAGCATCTAGCAGAGGAAACAGATTCGTTCATGTGTAGCTCACTGCGCCCTGTGCTGTGTTATGACAAATGCCACGTTGCAAATTCAGTGCAAAGAATTTTTTTTTTTTTTTTGAGACAGAGTCTTGTTCTCTCACCCAGGCTGGAGTGCAGTGGCGATCTCCGCTTACTGCAAACTCTACCTCCCGGGTTTACGCCATTCTCCTGCCTCAGCCTCCCGAGTAGCTGGGACTACAGGTGCGTGCCACCACGCCTGGCTAATTTTTTGTATTTTTAGTAGAGACGGGGTTTCACCGTGTTAGCCAGGATGGTCTCGATCTCCTGACCTTGTGATCCGCCCGCCTCGGCCTCCCAAAGTGCTGGGATTACAGGCGTGAGCCACTGCGCCTGGCCAAGTTCAAGGAATTGTTATTGGGACCTGTGATGTGCCAGGCACCCTGCCACATGCTGGAGATGCAGTGATCCTGATCTTCAGTAGTTCACAGCCTATGCTTGTAGATAGATGTAAACAGATAATTACAACATGGCATGGTAACTATTTTGATAAGAGATGTGCACTACTGCTCTGTGGGAATGCTGGAGAAAGGTACTTAGCACAGCCTGAGAAGGTGAAAAGAAGTCCTTGTTTGGGAGGTAACACCTGAACTGAATCTTGAAGAGTAATTGGAAAACGCCCCAAGTTGCCAGGTAGGTAGAACCAGCAGCTCATAAGAGAGCTTAGAGAACTTCTTAATATTCTGAGTTAAGAGATAGAGGGAGGAAGGAATGTGTGTCTGTCGTGGGAGCTAGAGCAGTTCTGGGTTTTCAAATCAAAGTGGAGGCTTAGGAGGATGGGAACCAGCTCATGAAGAGGAGTGACGTGGTCATTTTTGTTCTTTTGGACAGATTCACAGTAATTGGCAGTGTGGAGAAAAGACTTGAGAAGGGCAAGGTTGGTGGCAGGAAGATTGTTGCAACAGCCTGGGGTGAGAAATAATTAGGGACTGGACTAGAGCAGTTTTATAGAGATGGAGAGTACATTTTAGAAATATTTAGGAAGTAAGTTTCATAAGACTTTGTGATTGATTTTGTTGAATGGTTGAAAACTCCAGTGAGTACAGAAAAGAGAATAGTTCTTCCTGGGGGTGGGTCAGATGGCTTTCTAGAGGTGGTATCATTTCACCAGGCAGAGAGAGTGGAGAAGTGCATTTCATTCTGTGGCAATAGCATGGTCAAAGGCATGGAGGTGAGGGTGTGTGGTGATGTCAGTTGAGTACAGGAGTGTAAGGAGACTGTAAAGGGAAGGTCGTTTTTGGGGCTTCATTGAGGAGGACTTCAGTGTTGTGCTCTTCAGTAGCCAGTGGCTATCTGTTTAATTTTTAAGTGGGTAAGTGTTTAATAATTCTGGCAAGTGAGGAAGGTAGATTGGAGGGAACCAGGCAGGGATTGGAGGGAACCAGGCAGAGCTGATGGACGTAGTATAGATGAGGGAAAATGGGCTGGTCTATTACTGTGACATTGGGAAGGGAGGGGCTAGGTTTTTTAGAAAATTTGAAAATAGAATTGACAGGGTATGTTTATAGATGTGTGGAAGGAGGAACTTGTAGACAAAAATGATTTTGAGATTTCCAGATTGAGAGAAAGGTGATGCTGCTTATCCATGACAGAAGACTTAGGAAAGAGGAAGGAGGTTTGAGTTGTTTAAGGACTAGGGGAAGATGGAGATTTATAAATAATTAATAATACAGAGGTTGAGTTGTCTGCTTTATGTTGCCCTAAATATTATCTTATTTATAAATAACATCTTGGTTAGTATCCTGTAAGTATTGGTAATGGATGTTTGCATTTTTCTATTAGATTCAGAGGCCTCAGTCTGGAAAAAGTAATGAGATGAATTAGTGATGTCTGCTATGATCAAAGGAGTGTGAGTTGGTAGAATATAACTTAACACTTACTGAATATCTAATGAATGCCAAGTACTGTTTTAGGTGCTGGGATACAACAGAGAATAAAACAATTTAAAAAAATTCCCTGCCTTCATGAAACTAATGTCCTAGTGTTTGTTTGGAGACCATACACAGAATGTTTATGTGGTATGTTAGAATGTATTTGCCATCCCTGCTGCAAGTGGCAGGTAAGTTAAGGTGTCAAACAACATTATTCAGGGAAAGAATAGAGAAATGGGGAACAGTTTGATACTCAGTAGATTATGTGTAAAACTTGACTTTGCCTCAGTGTAATACTATGAATCACAGAAATGTCCAGACTTTAAAGATTGGCTATTTTTTTCTAGGTATTAAACCGCCTGACTTTTGCGTCTACTCTTTCTCACCTGCGTCGTTTAAATTCTCCTATTGGTAGAGATGGCAAGCTAGCAAAACCAAGACAGTTGCATAATACGTTGTGGGGGATGGTGTGTCCTGCCGAGACCCCAGAGGTAATACATTAGAATTTATATTGAGGACAAAAAGTCAGTGAGTAATTATGTAGGGCATAATTGCTTTTAGAAGTAGATGTTTAAAAAATTATGCAGAGTGGTTTAGAAATAAGATTTTTTAAATAATTGTATTCTTAGAAAGTAAGAATAAATCTTGAAATCACATTGAAGGAAAAATGTTTATGGAAAAGAAGTCTGATGGGCATGCAAAATCAGAATGACTAATACTTGGTTTATTTTTTAGGGCCATGCTGTAGGACTTGTGAAGAATTTAGCGTTGATGGCATATATTTCAGTTGGATCTCAGCCATCTCCAATTCTGGAATTTTTAGAAGAATGGAGTATGGAAAACTTAGAAGAAATTTCTCCTGCAGCTATTGCTGAGTGTGTATAGATGGAATTAGCTTTTTAAACTGTAGATAATCTTTAGTTGTTGCTTGGTATAGAATTGTTAAGCGTAAAATGCTTTTGCTTTTTCTTTTGTAGTGCAACCAAGATTTTTGTTAATGGCTGCTGGGTTGGAATACATAAAGATCCTGAACAACTTATGAACACCCTAAGGAAATTGCGACGTCAGATGGACATCATTGTGTCTGAAGTAAGAATCTTTGGTTAAGAGGGTGTGGTCTGTGAGATTTTTAAACAAGGCATATGACTAGTGAAAGTTATCTTTGCATTGGCATCTTTTCTTTGAACTTTATTTCCTTGAACTGTAAAGTGTAAATTTAATTATAAGTTATTGCTAGGCCGGGCACAGTGGCTCATGCCTGTAATCCCAGCACTTTGGGAGGCTGAGGCAGGTAGATCACCTGAGGTCAGGAGTTCAAGCACAGCCTGGCCAATATGGTGAAACCTCATCTCTACTAAAAATACAACAATCAGTCAGGCATGGTGGCACGAGCCTGTAATCGCAGCTACTGGGGAGGCTGAGACAGGAGAGTCACTTGAACCCAGGAGGTGGGGGTTACAGTGAGGTGAGATCACGCCACTGTACTCCAGCCTGGGTGATAGAGTGGGACTCTGTCTCAAAAAATAAAAAAAAGCCTGGGCATGGTGGCTTATGCCTGTAATCCCAGCACTTTGGGAGGCTGAGGAGGGCGGATCACAAGGTCAAGAGATTGAGACCATTCTGGCCAACATGGTGAAACCCCGTCTCTACTGAAAATACAAAAATTAGCTGGGCGTGGTCATGCGCACCTGTAGTCCCACCTACTCAGGAAGCTGAAGCAGAAGAATTGCTTGAACCCAGGAGGCGGAGGTTGCAGTGAGCCAAGGTCACGCCGCTGCACTCCAGCCTGGCCACAGAGCGAGACTCTGTCTCAAAAAAAAAAAAAAAGTTATTGCTTGCCTTAATCTTTGGATACATGCTTCCAAAAATTTTGACACATTTTAAATTATTAAATTATATTTTAGAACTCAAATTATATTTTAAAGTAAAAATTCTTTTGGGGATCTTTTTATAAAGCTGAGAATACTTTTAAAAAGGGAATAACCATCTGGGATTTATCCTTTGAATTCAGAGATTCATTAATAAAATGTGATATACCGCTAATAGATTCTTTTATATTTTGGAGGATTTTGGAGGATATTGAAGTGCTTTGGGATTAGGATGGGTTTTTAAAAAATCATTATAATAAGGCCGGGACTAGTGGCTCATGCCTATAATCCCAGCACTTTGGGAGGCCGAGGCAGGAGGATTACTTGAGGTCAGGAGTTCAAGACCAGCCTGGCCAACATGGCAAAACCATGTCTCTGCTAAAAATAAAGAAATCAACCAGGCATGGTGGCATGCGCCTGTAGTCCCAGCTTCCCGGGAAGCTGAGGCATGAGAATTGCTTGAACCTGGGAGGCAGAGGTTGCAGTGAGCAGAGATTGTGCCATTGCACTCCAGCCTGGGCGACAGAGCAAGACTCTGTCTCCAAAAATAAAAATAAAATAATAATTAAAAAAAATCATTACAATATATTGTGAACTTTATTACTCTCCCAAATAAGGGTGTTAGTATACTGTTTGAGGAATGTAGCTCAGGCTTTTAATTTTCCCAAATCTATATACCTTGGGTGAAAGTGGTTTTGGAGAGAAACTGAACACACTTAGCCAGTAACTACTCTTTGTACCTAACAAAGCAGAGAAGAGAATTTGGTTGTTCTGGGCCTTTTCCAGCAGCAGGCCCTGAGTGTTTTTTTTGGGGCGGGGGGCGGGGGTGGGGACAGAGTCTGGCTCTGTTGCCCAGGCTGGAGTGCAGTGTTGCGATCTTAGCTCACTGCAACCTCTGTCTCCCAGGTTCAAGAAATTCTCATGCCTCAGCCTCCTGAATAGCTGGGATTACAGACGTGTACCACCATGCCCGGCTAATTTTTGTATTTCTATTTTTATTTTTTTGAGAGAGAGTCTCGCTCTCTCGCTCAGGCTGGAGTGCACTGGCATGATCTCAGCTCACTGCAGCCTCTGCCTCCCAGGTTCAGGCAATTCCTGCCTCAGCCTCCTGAGTAGCTAGGATTATAGGTGCCTGCCACCATGCCTGGCTAATTTTGTATTTTTAGTAGAGGCTGGGTTTCTCCCTGTTGGCCAGCCTGGTCTCGAACTCCTGACCTCAGGTGATCCGCCTGCCTCAGCCTCCCAAAGTGCTGGGATTACAGACGTGAGCCACCGCGCCCAGCCAATTTTTGTATTTTTGGTAGAGATGGGGTTTTGCCATAGTTGGCCAGGCTGGTCTTGAACTCCTGGGCTCAAGCCGTCTGCCTGTCTTGGCCTCCCAAAGTGCTGGGATAACAGATGTGAGCCACTGAGCCCAGCCTGGCCCTGGATTTTGACCCAGGCTTATTTACAGCTTGAAGGCAGGAAGAGAGTGATTCACTTGAGGGCAGGCAAGGCTAAGAGAAAGCTCAAAAAAATGTCTCTTTCTCTCTCTATCTGTGTATTTCTTAAAAGAGGTGGGGTCTCACTATGTTGCCCGGCTGGTCTTGAACTCCTGGGCTCAAGCAGTCCTTCCTGCCTTGGCTTCCCAAAGTGTTGGGAGCTATGCAGTAGGTTGGCTGTATTTTTTTTTTTTTTTTTTTTTTTTTTTTGAGAGGATTTCCCTCTGTCGCCCAGGCTAGAATGCAGTAGCACAATCATGGTTCATTGCAGCCTCTACCTTCTGGGCCCCAGCGATCCTCCCACCTCAGTCTCCTAAGTGGCTGAGACCACAAGGTATGTGCCACCACACCCAGGTTTTGTTCATCATACAGTATGTGTTATGTATTTAACTCTGCTGTTGTAGTGAGAACCAGCCATAGGTAATACATAAACTAATAAAACTGTGTTTACAAAAACACCTGGTGGGTGAGGTAGGGTGGTTGGGTGTGGTGGCTCATGCCTGTAATCCCGTAACTTTGGCTGGCTGAGGTGGGAGGATCGCTTAAAGCTAAGAATTTAGGACCAACCAGCCTGGGGCAATGTATCAAGACCCTGTTTATATTAAAAAAAAAAAAAAAGACCATAGAGCTATATTCTGTCAGGAACGTTAGTTTTCTAAGAACTTAAGGCAGTGCATTTGAAAGCAGAATCTTCTTGGACTTTAGAATACTACTCATGATATTTTTGCTCACAGTGTTTTCTCCTTAAATTACTTTCTAAGGACAGGCAGTAGACTAGGAACTTGGAACATTTTTCTCTTTCTTGTCTTTTGACTCTTTCATTTTAGAGAAAAACTTGATGTTTTGTTGTTTTATTTTGTTTTTTGAGACAGGGTCTTACTCTGTTACTCAGGTTGGAGTGCAGTGGCATGGTATCGGCTCACTGCAACCTCTGCCTCCCGGGTTCAAGTGATTCTTCTACCTCAGCCTCCTGAGGAGCTGGGATTACAAGCGCGTGCCACCACACCCAGATACTTTTTGTATTTTTAGTAGAGACAGGATTTCACCAAGTTTGCCAGGCTGGTCTCAAACTCCTGACCTCAGGTGATCTGCCCACATTGGCCTCCCAAAGTGTTGGGATTACAGGCATGAGCCATTGCGCCTGGTCTTTAATAGCATATTTTATTTGACTTGATACATCCCAAAGTATTATATCAACATTCTATTAATATAAAAATTATTAATAAACCATTTTACATTCTTTTTTTCCTGTTTTGGTGCTGTCTTTCAAATCCATTATGTGGTTTATACTTAACAGCACATCTCAGTTCAGAATGGCGACATTTCATGTGCTCAGTAGTCACATGTGGCTATCCACTGTTAGATAGCTAGACTGTAAGCCATTTGTCTGATGGTGGGTGTGAGTAGTCAGGCTTACATCTGATAGGTGTGTGTGAGAAGTCAGGCTAATGACTGGGAAAGTATGGTCAAAGCATAGTGACATAGGGCTGGTTTTTGAAAGGTTGTAGGATGAGATATATGTCATCAGCAAAGAGCCAAAATAAGAAATTGTCATGTACTAGTGTTTGTGGTATTGAAAAAATATTTCCTACGTTAACTTGCATGACATTATTACCAGATATTATTGTTCAGCTTTATAATTGCCAAGGTTAGATTTTTTCATTCATAAAATTTTAAATGATACCTAAATTTATAATATGTTAAACAATGGTAAACTAAGATTTGCACATTTTACTTGATAAATTGGTTGCTCCAGAAATTCAGTAGGATTTGTATTGTATTTTTAACTAAGAGAAAATAAAAATTCATGGAACTTTTTTCTTTCTATATATAGGTTTCTATGATCAGAGATATTCGAGAGAGGGAGATTCGGATCTATACAGATGCAGGCCGTATTTGTAGACCACTTCTGATTGTGGAAAAACAAAAGCTACTTTTGAAGAAGAGGCATATTGACCAATTGAAAGAGAGAGAATATAACAACTACAGGTAAAAACATGCAGTGAGAAAAATGTGTGTATTAAAAATTGAGATAGAATTTACATACCATAAAATTAACCATTTTTAAATTTAATTTTATTTAATTTTAATTTTTTTTTTTTTAATGACACAATCTCAACTTTGTCACCCATGCTGGAGTGCAGTGATGCAATCTTGGCTCACTGTAACCTCCACCTCCTGGATTCAAGCAATTCTCCTGCCTCAACCACCCTAGTAGCTGGGATTACAGGCATGCGCCACCACACCGAGCTAATTTTTGTATTTTTGGTAGAGACAGGGTTTCGTCATGTTGGCCAGGCTGGTCTTGAACTCCTGGTCTCAAGTGATCTGCCTGCCTCAGCCTCCCAGAGTGCTGGGATTATAGGCATGAGCCACCGCGTCTGGCAAGTTAATGATTTTTAAAAAGTATACAATAGTGGTTTTTAGTATGTTTGCAAGGTTGTGCACCCATCATCTAATTTTAGAATACTTTCATTGCCCCCAAAAAACTCTGTACCTTTAGGAGTCACATTTGTTTTTCTTAACTTTTATTATGAAGCAAGATAATTAATAGGATTTTGTTTAAGCTTAAAAGTCTTTTGATTGCCCAGGTGTAGTGGCTCATGCCTGTAATCTCAGCACTTTGGGAGGTCAAGGTGGGAGGATTGCTTGAGACCAGGAGTTCAAGACCAGTCTGGGCAATATAGGGAGACTCCCATCTCTCCAAAAAATAAAAAAATTAGTCAAGTGTGGTGGAATGCACCTGCAGTCTAGCTACTCAGGAGGCCTGAGGCAGGAGGATCACTTGAATACAGGAGTAGTGAGCTTTGATTGTACCAGCCTGGGCAACAGAGCAAGACTCTGTCTCAAAAAAATTTTTTTTGTGATATGTTAAAATCTATTAATAGTAATAAGGAGAAATAACCTATATAATCTAAATATAATATATTACATATAATATGATGTAATATGAATAATATAAGAAATTTAGTGAAAAGATGAAGCTGATTTAAATATTTTTTTAGCAAATGAATGTATAGTTATGTATACTAATGTAAAAATCATTCAAATAATATGTGTAATAAATTTAAAAAATTGCCCTCCAATTTATACTCTTCTTCACAAGTAAATACTGGTAACAGGTGTGTATTCTACCAGGCCTTATTCTCCAGCAGCTTACCTTTTTCACTGTCAACAATCATGTAACTATGTTGGTCAGTTATATATAATATTAAACTATATATAAAAATATATATTATATGTATATTTAATATATAATAAACTATATTTAAATATAAATATAGGAATACTTTTAAGTAGGAGGAATAGTTAGTTAAAATATTTCAAGAAATAGAAAATTGAGTGAATTCTTTTTTAGTTGGCAGGATCTTGTGGCCAGTGGGGTAGTGGAATATATTGATACACTGGAAGAAGAAACAGTGATGCTTGCAATGACTCCAGATGATTTACAGGAGAAAGAAGTAGCTTATTGTTCCACATATACACACTGTGAGATTCATCCCTCAATGATCCTTGGTGTCTGTGCATCTATTATTCCCTTTCCTGATCATAACCAGGTTGGTATCACTTTTCATCTTCTGGTGTGAGGAATTGGGAGAAGTAATAAAAATTGGAAGTAACTCTGTAATCGTATCTGGAGGGAAAAAGCCTTTAAATGAAAGGCTCTGAACTCCTACAGAATCAGCATTTGATATACTTGCTGTTGTGTTTCATGGTTAAGAGCCGTAATTGATTATTTCGAATGGTTATTACTTATTGTTTTTGAAAAAAATCAGGAATTTTACCAATCATATTTCTTCTGATTTATTGTCAGAGTCTTTTCCATTAGCAATAGTAACTTTTCGTTGATTCTGCTTTTCATTTTTACGTTTAGTCCCCTAGAAACACATACCAGTCTGCTATGGGTAAGCAGGCTATGGGAGTTTACATCACCAACTTCCATGTTCGCATGGACACATTGGCCCATGTTCTCTACTATCCTCAAAAACCACTTGTGACTACACGGTCTATGGAGTATCTACGATTTAGAGAGCTGCCAGCAGGTATGGTCAGTTTTGCTCTACGTTATTTAAGATCCTGCCATGTTTAAGGCACTTTTCTGGGTGCTTGGGAGGATTAAAAATTAAATATGACATAGTGTCTGTTCTCGCGGAATTTATAATATGGTGGGAAACGTGAACATAATAAAAAGGTAGTTATGTGGAAAGTCTTATGGTGGAGGTACAAAGTCCTTTGGAAGCACAGACTGATGGAAGCGATTAATTCCTGTTGGAAGTCGAGATTCAATTTCATGGAGAAGGTGGCATTTTAGATTGGAGCAAAATTGATGAAGGGGTGTTTGCATTTGAGAGGTGGTTTAAGCAAGGGCACAGATGGATGAAGTCATGAAAAATGGGTACAGTTAGGAGTCATGTCAGCTTAGTGTGGGTGGAGTGTAAATATATGGGAGTGAAAGCTTGGTCTCAGTGTGGAGAGAGCCTGAACAGGTTGACTTTTATTTTGAAAATGGAGACACATCCAACCTTTTGGATCAGGGAAGTAATACAATTAGAGATTTGTTTTAGGAATACCATTCTGACAGCGGCATAAAGAGTAGATTACAGTGAGGTACTGTTTTAGTAGGGTGATAATTTAGGGGTTTTTGCAGTAGTCTAAATGTGAAATGGCAAGGTCCTAAAGAAATGAAAAAGAATGATGGGTAAGATACCTTTTGAAATACACTTGATAGGGCTTGATGAATGGCCGAGTGTGGAACAATGAAGAGAGGAATTGGAAATATTGTTGGTGTTTCTGGCTTGAGTGATTAAAGAGAGGTGCTATGAATAGGTTGGGGGAAAAATAAGATTGGGAACATGTTAGAAGGGGGAAGAGGTTTTAGAGGTAAGATAGTAATTCTGTTTTGGATATGTTGATTTTGATTTAGTGTCTTAGTGTCAGAACACTAAGATGTGAACTTCCAACAACAGTGAGTTGCAAACATGATTTGAAAGAAAGTCAAGTCTAGAGATGTAAAATGTTTTATTTATTAATGATAATTATAGATTACTATGAAATTGCCTAAGGAGAATTTAGATTGAGAAAAAGGCCAGAGGCAGACAATTTTAGACACCAGGAAGAGAAATCAGGAGAGAAGATTTGAGAAGTAGCTGGTAAGGAGGGGAATCTCAGGGAGACTGGGTGGTAGGTAAAATGGCGAAGAGAAATCTGAAGGGTATGAGTGTTGACTATTAAAGGAGATGGTAGAGTTCTTTGGCACTGTTGTTATCTTTTGTATTAACAGACTTTTGGCTTTGAATGTGGGTAACATTTGTTATTTGTTAGTAAAGTTCATCTTTAGTGTACTGTAATGGGGCTCTAACATTTTGATAGGAAATTCTCATAGGTTAAAATTACTTACTTTCAAAATCCTCCACAAGGGGTTCCTCTTGTCTAGAAAAGCAAAATCTGTTAGGTTGTCTACACAGTACGCACGTATCTTTGGGCTGTGCTTGCAGTGCTGTGTTTTCTCCAACATTTAGATAATACAGTTTCTTTATGGCTAGAGAAGAAAATACATATACTGAAGGACTAGGTTGGAAAGCAAATGTTCCTTTGGTACTGGCGTAAGTGGAGAGTCATGGCTGGCAGGACTGCAGTTCTGTTATTCCTGACTTCATCATGGCATCTTTATTTTGAAGTTCTTTTTTTTTGTAGAGATAGGGTCTGCTTTGTTGCCCAGGCTGGTCTCAAACTTCTGGGCTCAAGTGATTTTCCCACCTCAGCATCCCAAAGTGCCAGGATTACAGATGTAAGCCACTACAGCCGATCCATCATACCATCTTTAAAAAAACTTTTAACATTTTACCACATTTGCTCTATTGTTCTCTCCCTTTTTATTACTTCTCCTGAACCACATTAGAGTAAGTTGCAGGCGTGAAGCATGTGTTTCCTTCTTCAGTATGTGTTTCCTAAGAACAAGGACATTCTCTGTAGTGCAGCCATCAAATCAGGATAACATTGCTATCCATATAGTCAGCAGTCCTCAATTCAAATTTTGCCAGTTGTCCTAATGATGGTTTTTTTTTTTTTTTTTTAAAGAAAGCAATTTTTATTGTATTCAAACCTAACGATGTCTTTAGTGGGTCTAGGAGCTAATCTAGGATTGTGCATTGCATTTAATTACATGTTTCTTTAGTTTCCTTAATCTAGAACAGTTTCTTAGTCTTTCCTTGTCTTTCATGACCTTGACATTTGTGAAGAGTTCAGGAAAGTTATTTTGCATTGTGTCTCAATTTAGGTTTGACTGTTGTTTCCTCATGATGATATCCAGGTTAAGAATATCAAGTTATTTTATGTTATGTTGTGTTATTTATTTTATTTTCGAGACAGATTCTCACTCTGCTACCAGGCTGGAGTACAGTGGTGTGATCTCAGCTCACTGCATCCTCCACCTCCCGGGTTTAAGGGATTCTCCTGTGTGAGCCTCCCGAGTAGCTGGGACTACAGGCACATGCCACCACGCCCAGCTAATTTTTGTATTTTTAGTTGAGATGGGGTTTCACCCTGTTGGCCAGGATGGTCTTGATCTCTTGACCTTGTGATCCACCTGCCTTGGCCTCCCGAAGTGCTGGGATTACACGGGAGAGTTGAGTATCCAGTTATTTTATGGGCTCATCAAACAGTGTTTTGGCAGCAGCAACTAAGAATTTCATTGTGGCGGGAAAGATATGATAATTTTTTGGTGGTACAAGGAGAGGGAAATAGGGTAGTACCAGTTTCAAACCTAAAACCAGAAATCGGGAGACAAGGAGCTGGGGCTTGAGCCTACTGCTTATTAATTTTGAGATCATGGGTAGATTATTAATTCACTCTTCTGATTCATGAGAATAATAATGCTTATTTTGTTTATGGCACAGAGTTGTTGTGAGGATCATGAAACTTGGTTTGGGGAGGCACTTTCTAAGTAGGAGGTGACTCACATGTATAATCACTTACTATGAGAATGAATACATTGGGAGTGACTAGTCTTAGGATTTGCTTGTGTGAGATATTTAGCCATCAGAGTAGTTGCCTCACAGATTGCTATTCTAGGAGGAATAGACTTTGGTAGTTACCGTGACAACAAACACCCAAGCATTTATGGCAAATATGATTTAATTAAAGTTGATTTAAAGAAAGGGCAGTTTTCCTGTTTTCCAGGTGATGTTTTAATGTATGCTTTTTTTTTTTTTTTTTTTTTTTTGTTTAATATGTGCTTTTTAAATTCACTGCAGGCATCAACTCAATTGTGGCCATTGCATCATACACTGGATATAATCAGGAAGACTCTGTTATCATGAATCGTTCAGCTGTAGACCGTGGCTTCTTCAGGTTTGTATTTTGTAAATTTGTCAAAACACAGGTACAGTGGAAACACTAATATTTTATTCAGAAAAAGTTCTTAAAATACAGTCTAACTACGCACTACTCCAGAAAAGCAGAAGGCCTGGCTGATGGTCACAAACAACTGAAGATACTACTTCTTATATCTCTCAGGAATTTCAAATGCTAGTATTTTTAGCCTTTCTTTTGGTAAGGAAATATACATTTGCATTTAGATAATATAGAAATGTCTAAAGAAGAAATAAAAATAACTTAGAATCCATAGATAACTACTGTTAAAATTATGGTGTGTTTTCTTTTCACTCTTTTTTTCCATTATGCTTCAGCTTGATTGTCCTATTGACAAATAGACCTCAAATTCAAGGCATATAAAGATTGTTTTAAAAACTGGGAATTTAGTAGAGGGGAATGGATTTTCCTTTTTCTGTGTAGTTTCAAAGGATAGCACTAGAACTCAGAGGATACATATTATGGCTTAATGTAAAAACTTCTTTTTTCTTTTTGAGACAGAACTTGCTGTTGCCAATGGAATGCAGTGGTGCAATCTTGGCTCACTGCAATCTCTGCCTCCCAGGTTTCAAGAGATTCTCCTGCCTCATTTTCCCAGGTACCTGGGATTACAGGCTTGCACCACCACACCCAGCTTGTTTTTTTTTTTTTTTTTTTTTTTTTTTTTTTTTTTTGGTATTTTTAGCACAGACCATGTTGGCCAGGCTGGTCTCGAACTCCTGACTTCAGATGATCCACCCACCTTGGCCTCCCAAAGTGCTAGGATTACAGGCGTGAGCCACCATGCTCGGCCAATGTAAAAACTTCTCACTGGAAGTGTTTGAGTAGAACCTAGGTGACCATCTTTCAGGGTTATTTTGTAATGGATTCTTAAATTGTGTAGGAGGTTGGACTCATTGACCCTGGGTCTTTTCCATTTTGACATGTAATTCTAGGTGGTTAAGGTTATGGGTCAGATGCTACATATGTATAACTTGTGATAACATTTAGAGTTTAACTCCGACCCTTAATGCAGTTATTCTTGTCCCAGATTCATAGTTTAAATTGTCTCCCAAATTTCAAGTAAATGAGAAATTGTTGGTATAGTCTCAGCCCTTTTGTTAAAAAATAGACTTTACCTTTAGAACCATGTGTTTTTAGGTCTGTTTTCTATCGCTCATACAAAGAACAGGAGTCTAAAAAAGGATTTGATCAAGAAGAAGTTTTTGAGAAGCCTACACGTGAAACATGCCAGGGTAAGTGACGCTAACATTTAAATGATGGAATCCTAAGTTAACTTACTGTGGTTTTCCTAAGTGATTTTGATGGGTTGTGTCAGCCTGCACCTGCCCCCATCCCCCTCCCCTTTTTTTTGTGCAATGAAAGTGTGTTTTCATGTTATTCTTAGAGTTCACATCTAAGAAAATATGTGTATTTGATAAAAGTCTTTGCACCTGGGAGTGAGCTTGCTGCAGACCTTCCTTCCTGGTAGGTCCTGCATTGAGGAGGCAGTTTAGGAAATCAGAGAGGTCATGTAATTTCTGGGGACACACTTCACGCCTGTCCCCTCTTCCTTTCCAAATTATGGTGTGATCATAATATTTGTTCAGCCACATTATTTGTAAACATTTAAAAAATAACCAGTGAAAAGAGGATACCTAGCATTTGTTGTTTCTTGTAGAAAACTCAAACTTACTTTCTAGTTATTTATTTTGACAGACACTTAAAAACTGTTTATGCAGTGGGATGGATGGGATGTTCCAGGAAAATGCAACATTTCTGCTACAGTTTTGACTCTGAATAGAATTGCATGAAGTAAAATGTATTTTGTTTCCTTTGCCATCTTCCTGTTACTCACCTTCCATTGGGTGGTTCTGTGTAGTAGTGAATTGATGTCCATTGGAGTTAAGATTGAGTTAAGATGAAATCCACAATTTCTGTGGGAGGATGTGTGCAGAGGGAATCCATAGATATTCTCTTTTTAATTAAAAATTTTTTTCTCCTGTACCCACTGATAGCAGAGATGTTCTTTCTCTTATAATATAGAAATCAGAAGATGGCAAAAAAACATATCCAGAGTCACTTGATAAATGTCTGTCATGGAAGAATCTGCTTTCCCAATGCTGATTCCAATGTTCTTTTTCTTCATAGACTTTTTTTTTTTTTTTTCTTTTTTTCCTGTGTGGACTGTGGTATTACAGAATTCAGAATAGTTTGTAATATTTGGAATAAGGGTATGATTCATGGTATAGAAATTCCTGTGGCCTTCTCTCTGACTTGGAACTGATTCATGTATGTGGTTTTTAATCTTTGTTGGGGATTATGTGATATTCCATGTCTATTTCCTCACAGGCATGAGGCATGCCATTTATGACAAACTGGATGATGATGGTTTGATAGCTCCAGGGGTTCGTGTATCAGGAGATGATGTTATTATAGGCAAAACAGTCACCTTGCCTGAAAATGAAGATGAATTGGAGAGCACTAATAGACGCTATACCAAGAGAGACTGTAGCACTTTTCTCAGAACTAGCGAGACGGGTATTGTGGATCAGGTTATGGTAACTCTCAACCAGGAAGGATATAAATTTTGTAAAATAAGGGTGAGTATTGAACTTTGTATGAACTTTGTTCATGTAGCTAGTCTTAGAAAGTAAACCAGATCCACTTAACTTATTTTTATATGAATTTAGGTACGCTCTGTTAGGATTCCACAGATTGGAGACAAATTTGCTAGTCGACATGGTCAAAAGGGTACTTGTGGTATTCAGTATAGACAAGAGGTAGGTGTCTTTGATCTCCCTCACACCCAAATCACAGTTTTGTTAAACATTTTTTTTTAAATCAAAATTTGCTTTAACTTAAGAGCTCGAAGATGATACAGATTGAACTTTTTTATTTTATTGTTGAATAAGTATATGAACATACCATGTTGAAACAGAATATGGGACATACAGTAATTCATTTGGGAGGGGGTGTCAGTTCTAGTTTAGTATATGCATCTTTAAGTCCCTTTTAAAATTTTTCTTTATAGGATATGCCTTTCACCTGTGAAGGTATCACCCCTGATATCATCATCAATCCCCATGCCATCCCCTCTCGTATGACTATTGGTCACTTAATTGAATGCCTTCAAGGGAAGGTAAGAGATGTTCTTCAAAAATATAGATTCTAAGCTGATACTTCTTCTAAAACTCTGATAGGTGATTGCTCTCAAATTTGAGCCAGAGTATTTTGTAAAAAGCTAGTGTGAGATTTACTTTTCTGCTTTCAAATTGATTATGATTCTGCCATTTTTTTTTTTTTTTTTTGGCAATTTGCAGTTATACACAAGTCAGGATTTTTGTGAGATATACTACATTCAACTAATACTTACATATGTGGTTTTCCTTTTGACTGGTTCTTTTCTATAGATGAAGAGTTAATTTATTGATTGAGAGTTCAATGTGAACTTAATAATTTTATAGTTCTATTATCAGCTCTACATGCATCTTTTGGTGGAGGTTTTCTATTTTTAAGTATTCTTTTAAGGTAAAGTGGCAATAGTTTAACATGTGGATGGCTTGGTTTTAGGGCATTAAAATGTCATTTCCTTGAGCCATCTGAAGTACTTATGAGTCTCAGTCTTTTTGTACTTGATCCCATGGATCGACTTCTGTTGGAATACTTAAGAGTTTTTCTTTTTTAAGCAGGTTCATTTGTTCTAAATATTTTGTGTAAGATTATAAAATGAACCTTAATATATCACAGCTTTCCATAACATACATTTCGAGTTCAAAGTCTTTTAATTTTAAAATACTTAAATACTTTCAAATTTTAAAAGTATTTAAAATTTTTTTGAATGCATTTTTATTGATATGACTTTTAGGTGGAGACAGACTGAAGCAACATTTTAAAGAGTACTTTTTTTTTTTTTTTAAAAAGGTATCGGCTAACAAGGGTGAAATTGGTGATGCCACTCCATTTAATGATGCTGTTAACGTGCAGAAGATTTCTAATCTTTTATCTGATTATGGCTATCATCTCAGAGGAAATGAGGTATATTTGCTCTTGTAGTAGTAATTTGTCATTTGTGGTTTTTTGTATGTGTGTAGTTTTATTCTGAAACAATATAACCTTTTATTGAAGTATAATATGTGCACATCTAGAGATGTACAGCTTGATGAATTTTCACAAAGTAAGCACAGCTGCATGACTAGCACCAAGCTCTAAAAATGTGAAGGCAGCGACAACCTTTTTCAGTCACTACCTTTCCACTCCCACCCCAAGCTAACTACTCTCTTAATTGCTAACATTTTAGATTAGTTCTGTGCTTTTTTATATAAATGGAGTTACACAATATATGCACATATCTTCTTTGACGTTTTTTAAATTTTAGGTCTACACTTCAAAATCTGTGTTTGTTGCAGGTCCTATACAATGGGTTCACTGGTCGAAAAATCACATCACAAATATTTATTGGCCCCACTTATTACCAGCGATTGAAGCATATGGTGGATGATAAGATTCACTCTCGTGCTAGGGGACCTATTCAGATCCTCAATAGACAGCCCATGGAGGGTAGATCTCGGTAAGAACTGTATCATCATCGTTATTATTAATTAACCTTATATTATGAAAAATGTCAACACACCAAAATGGAGATAGTGGTATAATGAATGCCTGTGTGCCTGTTACCCCCATTTCAACAATTATCGACTGATGGCCAGTCTTGTTGCATTCATCTCTATCCTTCTAACTTTTGACATTATCATCATGTTTTAAAGGCAGAGTCTCACTCTGTCACCCAGGCTGGAGTGCAGTGGCATGACCATGGCTCTCTGCAGCCTTGAACTGGGCACAAGCAATCCTCCTACCTTAGCCTCCCAAGTAACTAAATTGATATTGTTTCTTAAGTCCTTTTTTGAATTTATTGGTTGCCCTCCAACCTTTTTTTTACTACAGGCCTATGCCACTACACCTTTTTTAAAAAAAAATTTTTTTTTGTAGAGGCCAGGCACAGTGGCTCATGTCTGCAATCCCAGCACTTTGGGAGGCCAAGGCGGGTAGATCACCTGAGGTCAGAAGTCCAAGACCAGTTTGGTCAACATGGCGAAACACTGTCTCTACTAAAAATACAAAAAATTAGTTGGGCACACACCTGTAATCCCAGCTACTCGGGAGCCTGAGGCCTAAGAATCGCTTGAACCTGGGAGGCGGAGGTTGCCGTGAGCTGAGATCATACCACTGCACTCCAGCCTGGGTAACAGAGTAAGACTTCGTCTCAAAACAAAAAACAAAAAAAATTTTGTAGAAATGAGGTCTCACTATGTTGCCCAGGCTGAACTTGAACTCATGGCCACAATCCTCTAGCCTCAGCCTCCCAAAGTATTGGAATTACAGGCCTAAACCACTGCACCCAGCCCTCTTGATTATTTTTAAGCAAAGTCCAGACATCATATAATTTCTCCTATAAATGTTTCAGTGTATATCTTTAAAAGAATGGTTCTCAAATCTCTTGATCCCAGGAACCCACAATGCTTTTGTTTTATGTGAGTTGTATTGATACTTATCATATTAGAAGTTAAAGCTGAGATTTTAAATTTATTATTTAAAAAATGCTAATAAGCTCATTACATGTTAATATAAATAACATGTTTTGGCTGGGCGCGGGGCTCACGCCTGTAATCCCAGCTACTCAGGAGCCTGAGGGAAGAATTGCTTGAACCGAGGAGGTAGAGGTTGCAGTGAGCCAAGATTACGCCACTGCACTCCAGCGTGGGCGACAGAGTGAGACTGTCTCGATAACAAAACAAAACAAAAAACCATGTTTAATGAAAAATATATCTATTTTCCAGATGAATTTAGTAACAAGAATAACATTGGTTTACATTTTTGTGAATCTCTCTAATGACTTGGCTTAATAGAAACAGCTGGATTCTTACATCTACTTCTGCATTCATTCCATTGTAGTATTTTATTTTTTATATTTAAGTATATGAGGAAACTCTGATTTCATGCAGATAAGTGGTTGGAAAGAGAGGAATATTTTGATTTTTTTTTTTTTTTTTTTTTTTGAGGAGACAGTCTCACTCTCGCCCAGGCTGGAGTACAGTGGTGTGATCTTGGCACACAGCAACCTTCACCTCCTGGGTTCAAGCGATTCTCGTGCCTCAGCCTCCTGAGTAGCTGGGATTACAGGTGTGCGCCACCAAGTCCAGCTAATTTTTGTATTTTTTGTAGAGCCAGGGTTTCACCATGTTGCCCAGGCTGGTCTCAAACTCTTGGCCTCAAGTGATCCGCCTGCCTTGGCCTCCCAAATTGCTGGGATTACAGGCAAGAGCCACTGCGCCCAGCCCCTGCCCCCGTCCCCCCCTTTTTTTTTTGAGACAGGTTCACCCCTGTTCCCTAGGCTAGAGTGTGGTGGCACAATCACAGCTCACTGCAGCCTCTACGTTCCAGGCTCAGGTGATCCTCCCACCTCAGCCTCAAGTAGCTGGGACTACAGGCATGTGCCACCATGCCCAGCTAATTTTTCATATTTTTTAGTAGAGACAGGATTTCGCCATGTCTCCCAGCTGGTCTCAGACTCTGGAGCTCAGGTGATCCACTTGTCTGCCTTGGCCTCCCAAAGTGCTGGGATTATAGGCATGAGCCAAGGCGCCTGGTCTATGGATATTTTTTTGATGCTACACCAAAACGATAAGTTGTTGTTTCTCAAAGATTGGTTTTGATGTAGAAACTGAAACCATATGAATGAACCTTCTGCATTTTTTACATTTAAAGTTCATTGGTTTGTCTTGTACTTCAAATGTATCTTTTACACATGCATATTTTGTAGCATCCTAATTGGTCATTTGGAAAATAATTGGTTTGCTGAGTTATGCAGATTTTCAAATGTTGACATATTTCATCATAATAAAAAAATGGCATTTGTTAATATGACTACTGATGTCATTAGAAAAGCCTTTAAATATGTCAGGGAGCTATCAAGCCCATAGTGGTGCATAGAAGTTTCCTAAAATTCTGATTTTTGCTTGAAGCTCACAATTTTAATCATTTTCAGCAAATACTTAAATTTTCCTCAGAGTAAAAGACTTATGTTTTTGTTTGCTTTCATTTGTTCTTGTTTATTTCTTTGTCTGCCAAATATCTACAGCATCGTCAACTTAATTCTAAGTCTGAATTAACATAATGGGTGTTAACATGTTGATGAGTTAACCTAGTTGGTGTCAGCTGGCTATTCGAGTAAAAAAGATATTCCATGATAAAAGGGAGTAGTTCAGAATCATGCAAGTGCTTTTGTTCAAGACAGTCGTCTTCACTATACAGTAGAAGTGCTTACGAAATGTTCCATTTTATTTTAGTTTATTTTTTACATAGAGACTGGGTCTTACTATGTTGCTCAGGCTGGTCTCAAACTCCTGGGCTCAATCCAGCCTCTCACCTTGGCCTCCCAAAGTGCTGGGATTATAGGTGTGGGCCATCGTGCCTGTTTGAGGACTTTCATTTTTTAAAAGGTACAGGATATGAAAGAGATGTGTACTCAACGGTCAAAGTTTAATAAAACTATTTATTTTCACTGCTTCATTAAGGACATTTTTCAGTAAAACTGGTTTTTCTCCCCTTCACTTGAATGGAGAATATGACTGCTAGTAATGTTTGGTTCTACTACCCTGAGTTCTGCTAAGGTGCCAGCAGTTTTATTCATGTTTCCACCCTCAGTGCAAATGTAAACACAGTGAAAGAAGCAAATGTATGTTGTTAGTATTACTATTAAAAATAACTTTGACTCTCAGGAGGTCCATAAACCACACTCTGAGAACCTCTGCTCTAGAAGATTAGGATGTTAAACCTAACCACAGTACCTCCTTAATATTAAATATCCAGGTTTACATTTCCCTGAATATCGCATAAGTGTTTTAATGGTTTGTTGGTTTCAATCAGTATACAAATAAGGTCCATGCTTTGCAATTGATTGATAGTGACCCATAAGTCCTTTTTTGAATTTATTGGTTGCCTTCCAACCTTTTTTTTCCCCTTGTAATTTATTTGTTGAAGAATCTGGACTGTTTGTCCAGGGCTTGAGACTGAATTTTGCTGCTTGCATCCCAAGTGCTGTGCTTTCCTGCTTTTTTCGTTTTGTTTTGTTTTGTTTTGTAAATAATTAGATCTTGAGGCTTGAGATTCAGGGTTTGAGTTTTTTGGCAGTAATACTTCATAGGTGGTATTCTATACTTCCAGTATCTGGTTGCCTTTCTTTTTATGATTTTTAGCAGCTATTAATGATCACTACCTAAAGACCTTAATTAGAGATTTCAAACTGATACCATTCTATTTTTTTCTCATTTCTTCTTCAGTTTTTTTAGCCAGACAACTTCTAAAACTTTGTTTCCTCAACTGTTTGGTTACCTAGTGACGTAGTTCCTATAGTAAGGGCAGGAATAAATGCTTGATTCTCTTCTTTTATTTACCAGTTTTCATAATAGCGAGTTGATTTTCTAATGATCCAGATCAGTGGTCCAAAGTCGACCAATGATTTTTTTTGTTTTGGGGGAGTATCATTATAAACCCATTGGTTTTATTTTGTGTATTTTGGATATTAAGTATGTTAAGGAAGCCATCACCATCTATTAGCCTGGCCATCTGAATAATGCATTTCACTTCTTATGTTGTGGAAACCTATTATCATTTACCTGTTCTTTCCATTACTTCAGCCAACATGTGTTTATGATTTCAAGGTTGATTGCCTGGGACAGTCATTCCATTGACAAGCTGCCTTATTTAGATTGTCTTTTTCATTATTCATTTTTTTAGTTTAGAGTTGAATTCTAGAAAGTTAAATGATAGCATAATGAACCTCCACTCTATGCGTTATTGTATCTTATGAGGAAAATTAAATGCTATACTTAAGAATCTAATGTATCTACTCCATTTCGGGGCCTTCTTTTTTTATTTTTATTTGTTAAAAAATAGAGATAGGGTCTTGCCATGTTGCCCAGGCTCCTGAGCCCAAGAGATCCACCCAGTCCGCTTCCCAAAGTGCTGGGATTACAGGGGTGAGCCACTTTGCTTAGCCCATTTGGGGACTTTCTAATGCACATCAAATAGTTGGTAGACTTCTCTTCTCCCCACCAGTAGAGAGAATGCTAGGGTATAAAAATTAGCCTAGTTCTCCTTCTTTGCAAATATTATTCTCCACCTTTGCCATTATTCAAGGCAGTATTTATAATAAAAAATAAGTACAAAGTAATAATTTTTTTCTCTTAACAGTGACGGTGGCCTGCGTTTTGGAGAAATGGAACGAGATTGTCAGATTGCCCACGGAGCAGCCCAGTTTTTAAGGGAAAGATTGTTTGAAGCATCAGATCCATATCAGGTTCATGTTTGCAATCTTTGTGGAATAATGGCGATTGCCAACACCAGGACCCATACGTATGAATGCAGGGGCTGCCGCAATAAAACCCAGGTGTGTATAGACTTTACTGGCAGTTGATGTTTGTTTAGAGGAAACTATGTTGGTCTGATTATCCAGGCAGATTTAGTGTAGTGGAACAGATTGGCATTTTTACAATTTTGATAGCATGCTTCTGTAAGATTCCTAGTTCTAAATATGAAAAAGATAATTTGATTTTTCTAAAAACCAGTTTAGGTTTTAGTGTGGTAATTTCTCTAAGCTATTATCTTTTGGAAATAATAAGACTTTGTACAAGGGATTTTAAACAATGAGTTTTTAAAAACCTTTTAGTTGAGGTGGGTGAATATAAATTATGTCTGGCAGAAAGGGTAAAATACCAAAGCCTAGGAGAAAGAACCACCATAAGCCGAGGTAGCAGAGTGCGTGTTCTCAGCTCCACTCATTTACTCGTTACCTGCAGTACCAGATCTTTGCCTTTTTCTGGGGTAGAGAAGTGGAGTCACTTCAGTACAATTCTGCTAATTACTATTTGTTTTTTCTTTTCAGATTTCTTTGGTGCGAATGCCTTATGCATGCAAACTATTGTTTCAGGAACTTATGTCTATGAGTATTGCACCGCGAATGATGAGTGTTTAGCTATTTTACAAGACTCAACAAGATAAAAATATCTTGGTGTCTTGTTTCTATTGTGTGGCTTTTAAAAAATGACAAATAATGTACTGTGTTGTGATAAAAAAAAGTAGTTTAATTTGTTTAATGATATGCATGCTTTTCTTCTGTAAATATATAATAAAGTTTTGTAGATAGTCTTGATGTGTGATCTTTATTTTGTATTTCTCTGTATAAAACCAGTGAATATAACTAAAGTGTTAGTGGATTGGATTAAAAGAAACTTATTAGGCAAGAACAGGTAATGTAGTTATCCATGACTACTTTTAACCATGCAGACTAATATATTCAGGAGGTTTATAGCTCAGCACCTTCACCTGTTTAAAAAAAAAAAAAAGATAAAAATTAGTTACATATAGGGATGTGGTTGACTTTTGAACTGTCAGGTAGTTGAGTGTTTCCAAATAAATGAAGATGTTAAAATGTGGGGATAAAGGATATATGAGTAATTGTATAAATAATATGCTGGAGTGCTCTGTGGAACTCGAGTTACATGATTTTAGCCATGAAAGGCAATTTTGCTGTATTGGTTGATGCATCAAAGGTACATCTTATTATAGAACTGGAAGAGCACATTTCACAAATGAGATTCAGAGAGGTTAAAGACCTTTCCTTTGTAGTCCAGATCTTCAAAAGGTAAAGTGGAGGAAAAATTAGTAGCAGAGCTGAGACTCAAACGCATGGCTTGACTCTTAGCTACTGCTCTGTTTCATTGCCTGGCATTACACATTATGGCTGAAGAGAATCTGACCACATGCTTCTTTACTTTATTTTCATATCACAGCTGAGTGATCTGCACAGTGGAATGGTTTGACATGCTGATGGTAAATTTTGTTCTTTTGTCTAAGGGAAAGCCAATTCAGACATCAGTTTCATAGAACTATATAAATGTAAAGTAGCACTGCTATGACACTCAGGATGGGTTCTTCAGAGGAAGTTTTTTGGCAGTGAAGGAAGGGGAGACAGAACAGAAGTGGGCATTTGCCAGTATACTCTCTTTCTGGCTTTTTCTTTTAAAAGCAAAAGTGAAGGGTGAGAATTGCCCACAATCGTTTTCTTTTAAATGGGAATTTAATATAATAGTCACGACACAAAGGGAAAATGCCAAGTAGATAGGTAGAAAGCTATGGGAAATAGAAGCCATTCCAGGCAAGTTTGAGTTTTGACTCTTACATGTTAGATAAGGTAAAAGCATCTAAGTCATAATAACGACGTTCAGTCACCCATCCAGATAATCTTTTGGAGTCTCGTGCTCTACATTTTAATGGCATACTTAATGGCCCTTATGGATTCCTAACTACAGAATTTCATTAATAGCTATGTCTGATACTTTCATAATTAGTTCTGTTCTTTTTTAAGCAAATGTACTAGTCATTTTTAAATGGCTGTGAGATTTGTTGTGTACCTTTTTTCACTGGTATTTCATGTAAGGCATCAACCACTGTAATTTTTGCCGATGCTGAAGCCTGTCCTTGGGAATTGGATGCATGGCACTCATATTCTCCAGCATCGTCCTTACTTAGAGGAGATACCTGTGAAAGAAAAAGGATATAGTATTCCTCTGTGGTGGTCTTCTCTTTTGTCAGTGGTTCCAATGAGGTCATTATTTCATAAGTTTCCTAAGATGACCTGGGGATTCATAGCAAAGGTGCTGCCAGAAGTAGTGCAAGTCCTGTGCTAGGAGACTTCGATAGCTACTACATTTGGTTTGCTGAGGAGTCATCTCAGGAAATGTAATGGACAACTTTTGATCATACTGCATAGGTTAAAAACTAGATAGGTACACATTATCGGTTTGAGGGCAACCTTGATAAGGGTATATGATCAAAGTATTCTCCATGAATATCAAGGGTCAAGTAAAATAAGGTATTTATTAATCAATAATGAGTTAAAACGATGCTTGGGCCATGCGGCTCTGTGTAAGGATTTTGCTTTGAACTCTTAGGAAAACAGTAGTTCTTGTTAATTCATTGGTTGTTTTCAAAACATGCAATAAAGCACTTTTCCTTTAGTTTCTCTGAAAGAGAAGCAGCGACTCCATGGTAAAGCTATTCCAAAGAGATGTGGAAGAGCAAGCACCTTCAGGCTGGCAGTACATCAGGCACCTTTGCCAGGTCCGCTTATGTCTAATGCTAAGAATGAAACTCTTGCCAGCTCTTGGTTCTGGTACTCACCAGCACCCAGCCAGTTACTTCATGCTTTTCTGGGCCACCCCGGGTCTGAATGGCCAGGTTGTCCCGGTCACCAGGTAGGAGTTCTGTCCTTTGAACTCCATAGTGACCCCTTTTTACCTGCAAAAACAAAAGGAGAGAGTAATACTGAGTTTTGTACACCAGATCATCTACTTGGAAGTGGCCACATCCCTACAATTTCACATGGTATATGTCAGACTTTCTAATAGAGAAAACCTAGCATTTTTCTCAACTATTTCCCTTTACTACTTTTAAAATATAGATCCTTTTATTTCTTCCTGCCAGTTTTCTGCTAAGCTTACATGTTTTAAACTAATGTGTTTTTCTGCATGCTTGGGGAATACACATGTTCATAATTTCCTTCCACTGGCCACCATCATTCATTCACTCATACTCTTGGAAATTCTGCTTCTCGGTGCCAGGCCTTTTCCCTGTCATGCCATGTTCGACTGATGAACTGTCACCCAGTACTAGGTTTGATGCTTGGGACCTTGGGGCTCTTCCTGCAACAGCTTCATCAATGGACAATAGTAGGCTGAGGCCAAAGCCAATACTATTACTTTGTTCTGAGGGCTAAGAATTAATCAAATGATTTACTGAACACCTAAGATAAAAAACACCTATCAAAGGAGTTCGAGACCAGACTGACCAACATGACGAAACCGTCTCTACAAAACACAAAAATCAGCCCAGTGTGTTGGCGAGCGCCTGTAGTCCCAGCTACTCAGGAGGCTGAGGTGGGAAAATTGCTTGAACCTGGGAGGCGGAGGTTGCAGTGAGCCAAGATAGTGCCACTGCACTCCAGCCTGGGCAACAGAGTGAGACTCCATCTCAAAAAAAAAAAAAAAAAAAAAAAACCGCTGTCAAATACATGTGCTGTCATTGTTCTTTTATGACAAAACTTGTTGACTGTTTCTGTGTATGTCATGTTGAGATTCAGAAGAAATTTATTTGATTCAAGGCCAATACTAATGTATCCTTTTTGCTCTCATTTTAAAAGGCAAAATGTTTATTGTATAAACTCTGGAAAATATACAAAAGAATGAAATTCACTTGTAGCTCCTCGATATATATACATTTAGCAGCTGAGTTACAGAGTACAAATATTTTAAGCCTTGTGATAATGGTGAGTTAAAAAAAAAAAAAAGGATATACGAATTGTTTGTTCATTCCATCCCAGACCTCCTTTAAGAGGCTGACATTTATTGATACTTGACATTTATTGATACTTGACATTTATTGATACTACCTTTGTAATTAGAAAGGATTTACAATCTCAGGTAATTTCCTTTTCATTTTCTTCTATAATAAAGCAAATCTTAATAAAGACCAGATAATAGTGTGTATATATAGACACACTGTATGTGTAAATATAATAAATACATATATAAGTAAATCTATATATACACTTCGTTAACTTCCATCTCAGGGTTGCTTTTCCCATGTGGATCCCACTCCAACCATGTGTTTTTTGTTACTCTGCTGTTGTCTCGGCTTCAAACCTACACTGTATTTTCTCAGCTTTATGATGCCAGGACCGGGACTCAGCAAACCACATGTGATCTAGGCCAACTCCTGCTCTTGAAAAAATACCTTGCATGACTGATTTGGAAAGCCTGGCTTTTTGCATTTTTTTTCTGGAATTTTCCCACATTGCTACTAATGCTGTGAAGACAAACATGTACTCAATAGGTACCTTTCCCCTTAGTTTCCCAAGTAGCTGGAAGAAATGGTTTATGCTAATACAGCTTTTGCAATAGTTACTTAAAAATGGGTTTTAAGAATATTTTGGTAGAAGTATTAATTTGATTCAATGTCTAAAGTAATATGTCTCTGACCTTTATTCACTGAATGTCAGAATCATGTAAGAGTTTTATATGTGACCAAAGCAAGAAAATAAGAAACACTGCAGCACTGAAATACTGAATCTCAGCAACTGAGCCTCAAATCCCATAGCTCTTGGTAAAGAGCATTTTATGTTAATTAACTTGATCCACAATGGAAAGGGAAATGTATCTTGTTAAATATAATATTTAACAGAAATCACTGTATATATATACTTTATTTTTCCCTTCTTTTCACAGGTGTTGGCATGGTGTATTTTAATTAATGTTACATAATTATAAAAGGTTATACGTCATGTAGAAAACAGAAAAAACTGCCAAGAATTTTCATATGAAAAATTTTTATATGTCAAGCTCTCCCTTGTTCATGTAAGGGGATTCTAAGTGTTGATAAGCATGTGTTTTCTGTTTTTTGTTTTTGTTTTTTTTTTTTTTGAGACAGAGTCTTGCTCTGTCACCCAGGCTGGAGTGCAGTGGTGTGATCTTGGCTCACTGCAACCTCTACCTCTGCCTCCTGGATTCCAGTGATTCGCCTGCCTCAGCCTCCTGAGTAGCTGGGATTACAGGCACGTGCCACCACGCCTGGCTAATTTTTGTAGTTTTAGTAGAGACAGGGTTTTGTCATGTTGGCCAGGGTGGTCTCAAACTCCTGACCTTAAGTGATCCACTCGCTTTGGCCTCCCAAAGTGCTGGGAGGCATAAGCCACTGTGCCCGGCCACTAAATATGTGTTTTCTAGTTAAAATAGAAACTAAAACTTAAAAAGAGAGGTTAATATTCAGTGCTTGTAAAGATGCAGAGAAATGGCACTTCTCCATTGCTGGTGGGAGTGTGAATTACTACAATCTATTTGAAGAGTAATCGGACAATGTCTATTAATACTAAAACAAATATTTTGACTTATTCAGGTAACTGTTGGGAATCTATCTTATAGCAATAAAAGCACCGTATGATATGTGTACTTTGATGCTTAAAGTAGGATTGTTTAAGTTGACAAAAATTTGGAAACAACAGAAAAAATACAGAACTGATTTAATACATTATGGTATTCATACCTGGAATATTACGTAGCTGTTGAGAAGCAGACTTGGACAGATGTCCATGAAGTA